GGGTTATTCTTACTCCAGGACAGAAAAAGACTGCACCTCAGAAAGATTACCCCCAAATCACATAGCTGGAAAGTGCCTGGGACTTGGATTGGTTCCGATTCCTACTTTCATTATGCCACCCCTCCCATCTAGAGGATTATCTCTATTATCCCATTTAATTTTCTTAACTTCCTAAGCTGAAGTTAGGGTCTTCATTTTCCACATGACTAATTGGTGGAGGTGAGGTGAGTGGCCTGGAGACATTAAAGTGGTTTTCTGAAAGAGAACCAATGTTTGGGAATATAATTTCTCCAATTTCTAGTAATCCCTTCCTGGAAACCCCGTTGAGTTTATAGCTCAGTGGTAAAGTGATTTGAGGTCCTGGATTGATGCCTAGAACCACCCAAAACCAACGAACAAACCAAAACCCAAAACACAAAGCAAAACAACCAAAACCCAGCATGCCAAATGCTTTTACCTACTTGTTCTCACTCTCCAAAACCACCCCGAGAAAACGTAATCCACTTTACAGACGAGACAACTGGCGTTCGGAGAGAGTAAATAACTATGTCCTTGGGCCTAGAAAGTGGCTGACCCACTGGGCTGGTGCACAGCTGTGCACCTAGCACGGCTGACTCCACCCGGTAGCAGCTGGCTGTCGCCTACACTCGCTGAGCAAGAGAGGCACCCCCCCCCCACGGTCGAACACGTCCAAAGTACAACAGCGCGGGGGTCGCAGCCAGCCCCCGGCGCCGGCTCCCCGCAGCGTCCTCCAAACCATCCGCAGCTGGGAAGGCAGCGGCTGGGCTGGGAGGCTCCTCCCGCCGCGGGACCTGGAAGGTGAGCACTGCGGTTCGCCAACGAACTTGGGAGCCCGGCGCCACGAGCCCGGGCCAGCGGGAAGGCCCAGGGTGGCGTTCACGTCGGCCGCGGGTCGCAGCACCACTGCCTGCCTCAGTTTCCACACAGCCCGTAAGGGTCCAAAAGGCTTCCGGCGGGAAGGGCTGTCGGGCTCCGCCTCTCAGACAGCCGCCGCCGAACAAGCCCCGGCCCCGGCCCCGACCCGTCCCGCTGCCCCCGGGGGTGGGGAGGGCGCTGTCCGCGGCACTTACAGCCCGGAGGGACGCCCAGCCCACCGCTCGCCGCGGCAGCACCTTCCTCACGCTCGCCATCTTGGCTCAGCTGTGGCGGCCACGTGACCGGAGTGGGCGTGGCCGCGCACCTGGGCGGAGTCTGTGGGCTCCAATCCCGGGTCCGCGCCTGGCCTCCCCGGGTGGTGCTGATGGTCTTGTTGCCGTCGCCCCAATCCCTACCGTTCCAGTAGATTGGCTGAGCGCTTGTTGCATGCCAGACAATCTGAGGGGCAAAAAACGCAGACCGACAGAAAGCCAGGCTCCGGCTCCCGTGTTCGGTCTGGGAAGACACAAACTGGGGCAGTGAACGTCAGGGAGAAGCATCCTTTGAGGGGTCTGCAGAGTAGATCTACCCCGGTGGACAAGCGTTCCAGACAGACAGCAGGTGCAACGGCCAGAGGCGCAGACACCGGTGCTGCCGTTTCTGAAGTTTTTTTTCCTCCTCCACTACTTCTTCTTCTTCTTCTTCTTCTTGATTCTTCTTCTTCTTCCTCCTCCCCCTCCCTTCTTCTCCCCCTCCCTTCTCCTCCCTTTTCCTCCTCCTTCTTCTTAGCACTCTACCACTTCAGCCACAGTTTCTCAAACTTTTGGTAGAGAGAAGACTGATTTTTGCCCAGGCTGGCTTTGGACTGTGATGCTCAGATCTTAGCCACTTGAGTAGCATGGGGCTAAGGCAGCATTTTGCAGGTTGTGCCCCATTAATTGGTTTTAGGATTAATTTAATAGGTACCAGTGCCACTTCCGGTTTTCTGGTGGTTTACAGGAGATGAGTGTTTCATGGGCTTTCCTGCCCGAGCTGGCTTTGAACCATGATCCTCAGATCTCAGCCTCCTGAGTAGCTAGGATTACAGGCAAGAGCCATCAGCACCTGGCTTTTTGTGTGTGTGTGTGTGTCGGGTCGTGGGCCTGAACTCTGGGCCTGGGCGCTGTCCCTCAGCTCTTCAGCTCAAGGCTAGTGCTCTACCACTTGAGCCACAGCACCACTTCTGGCTTTTTTTGTTTATGTGGTGCTGAGGAATCAAACCCAGGGCCTCATGCATGCGAGGCAAGCACTCTACCACTGAGCCAACTTCCCTCAACATTCTGTAATAGAAAATAAAGAAGCCGGGCGCTGGTGGCTCACGCCTGTAATCCTAGCTACTCAGGAGGCTGAGATCTGAGGATCGAGGTTCAAAGCCAGCCCGGGCAGGAGAGACCATGAGACTCCTATCTCCAATAAACCATCAGAAAACCGGAAGTGGCACTGTGGCTCAAGTGGTAGAGTGCTCGCCTTGAGCTGAAGAGCTGAGGGACAGCGCCCAGGCCCAGAGTTCAAGCCCCACGATCGACCAAAAAAAAAAAAAAAGAAAGAAAATAAAGAAAACTTATAAGAGTAGAAAGTATAATTAACAACATTTTTATTATATATGTCAAGTAAAATAGTTTTTGTGTGTGTGCTGGTCCTAGGGTTTAAACTTGGCCTGGGGACTATCCTTGAGCTAATGTGCTCAAAGCTAGTGCTCTGCTACTTGAATCACAGCTACACTTCTGGTGTTTTTTCTTTTTTTTTGGTGGGAAATTGAAGATAAGAGTCTCACAGGTTTTTCTGGCTGGCTTTGAACTGTGAACCTCAGACCTCAGCCTCTTGAGTAGCTAGGATTACAGGTGTAGGCTACTAGTGCCTGGTAACAGAATAAATATCTAGCTGGGTGTGGTGGTACACACTTGTACTTCTAGCTACTCAGTAGGTTGATACAGGAGGGTCACTCAAATAGTGGGCTGCAAACAGAAATGCCCATAAAACACTATTAGAAAGATGGAAAAGGCCAGGTAAGGTAAAAAGGCACACCTATAATCCCAGCACCCAGGAGTCTGAGGTAGGAAGATTGGCTTGGGGACAGCTTGGGCTATGTAGCAAGATCCTGTCTCAAAAAGAAAGGCCAGATGGTGGGGGCTCACTCCTGTCATCCTACTCAGGAGGTGGAGATGGGCAAAATAGCAGTTTCAGGCCAAACCAGCTCCCTCCCTTCCCCCAATGCTTGAAAAACTCAATAGAAAAAGTTGTAGCCAGGTGCCCGTGGCTCATGCCTATAATCCTAGCTACTCAAGAGGCTGAGATCTGAAGATTGTGGTTCAAAGCCAGCTCAGGCAGGAAAAGTCCGTGAGACTTTTTTTTTTTGGTTCCAGTTGAGGGGCCTGAACTCAGGGCCTGGGCACTGTCCCTCAGCTCTTCAGCTCAAGGCTAGCGCTCTATCACTTGAGCCACAGCGCCACTTCCGGCTTTATTTCCTTTTTGCTTATGTGGTGCTGAGGAATCAAACCCAGGGCCTCATATATATGAGGCAAGTGCTGTACCACTGAGCCACCTTCCCAGCCCCAGTCCATGAGACTTTTATCTCCAATAAATCACAGAAATTTGCTGTGGCTCAAGTGGTTGAGTGCTAGCCTTCAGCTGAAGAGCTGAGGGACAGTGCTCAGGCCTAGAGTTCAAGCTCCATGACCGACAAAAAGAAAGAAAGAGAAAGAAAGAAAGGAAAGAAAAAAGATGAGCATGTTGGCAAGTGTCTGCCATCCCAGCTATAGGAAGAAGCTTAAGTAGAAGATTAAGATACAGGTCATCCTGGGCAAAAGTACAACAGCAGGTTGTCCTTTTTTTTTGTCGGTCTTGGGGCTTGAACTCTAGGCCTGGGCGCTGTCCCTGCTCTCTTTAGCTCAAGGTGAGCGCTCTACCGCTTGAGCCACAGTGCCACTTCGGGTTTTCTAGTGGTTTATTGGCGATAAGAGTCTCACAGATATTTCTGCCCAGGCTGGCTTTGAACCATGATCCTCAGATCTCAGCCTCCTGAGTAGCTAGGATTACAGATGTGAGCCACCGGCACTCGGCTAGGTTGTACTTTTGCTACCTCAAAAATAACCAAAGCAAGCTGGGTTCTGGTGGCTCACACCTGTAATCCTAGCTACTCAGGAGGCTGGGATCTGAGGATCGAGGTTCAAAGCCAGCCTGGGCAGGAAAGTCCATGAAACTCTTATCTCCAATAAACCACCAGAAAACTGGAAGTGGCACTGTAGCTTAAGTGGTAGAGTGCTAGCCTTGAGCTGAAGAGCTGAGGGACAGTGCTCAGGCCCAGAGTTCAAGCCCCACAACTGACAAAAAAAAAAAAAAAAACAACCAAAAAAACCCCAAAGCAGCCAGAAACCAGTGGCTCATATCTGTAAACCTAGCTACTCAGGAGGCTAAGAACTGAGAATCAAGGTTCAAAGCTAGCCTGGGAAGGAAAGTCTATGAGATTCTACTTCAATTAATCACCAAAAAACTGGAAGTAGAACTGTGGCTCAAGTGATAAGAGCATCAGCTCTGAGCAAAAAAGTTAAGAGGTCAGCACCAAGGCCCTGAAAATAGAAGGGGGAGCTGGTGGCTCACGCCTGTAATCCTATCTACTCAGAAGGCTGAGATCTGAGGATCGCAGTTCAAAGCCAGTCCAGGCAGGAAAGTCCATGACTCTTATCTTCAATTAACCACCAGAAAACCAGAAGTGTTGCTATGGCTGAAGTGGCAGAGCACTTGCTTTGAGCTGTAGAGCTCAAGGACAGTGCCTAGGCCCAGAGTTCAAGCCCCACATCCAACAAAAAAAAACCCCAAAACTGGGGTCATGCCTCAAGTATACAGATCCTGCCAAGCAAGAGTGAGGTGCTGAGCTCAAACCTCTGGACCCAAGTACCCCCCAAAATGAACAAAAAGCATGTGGATGAGCCATCAAAACTGTTCCGTGTCCTGTCACAGCGGCAGGGTGAAGGGTGCATTCTTTATGGGTGACGAAGGGGGCTTCCTTGTAGAATATCCCCATGTAGGAGGAAACAGACTAGCTTACCTGGTTTGTCCCTTCTTTTGCAATGGATCTGAGACTTAACAAATTTTTATTCATTTATTATTTCTTTGAGAGGCTGTAATGGTGGGCGAATGCTCGACCACCTGGGCCACGCCTCCACACCTGGATCTCAGATCTCCCATACCTTAGTGATCAATAGACTGTATTCCATTCTTTGATTAAAATGTGTGGGAAGATCCCCCTATGGGTGGGGAAGAGAAGTTAACTTTATTCAAAGATGGCACTACAAGAGAAACTCAAAGCAGTGCCCAGTTATCAGGGGCCCCTGGTCCTGCCTGGTACGCCAACCATCACTTCACATTGGTCATCTTCACCGTCCAAGCAAACTTCACTGGGAGACCCGAGGGGGGCAGTGAGGGTAGAGTGATGAGGAGACTGTCTTTAGAGTCTTTGGACCATTTCAGATTGCCATGCATTCCCAGCATCATTATCTGCAGAAAAGAAAAAGCAGTGGAAAACTCAGTAAAGCATCCAGAAGCATACACTCTGACCTGACCATGGAGGGAAGCAGCGTTTCAGACAGGGAGAGAGGAGGGAGTAACAGGGCAGGGATGTGGGAGGGGCCTGAGGAAGGCAGGAAGGAGGAGGGAAGGCCTTTCTTTTTTCTTTTCTTTTTGCCAATGCTGGGCCTGGGCACTGTCCCTGAGCTTCTTTTGCTCGAGGCTAGCAGTCTACCACTTGAGCCACAGCGACACTTCTGGCTTTTTCTGTGTATATGGTACTGAGGAATTGAACCCAGGGCTTCATGCATGCTAGGCAAGCATTCTACCACAAAGCCACATCCCCAGCCTGGCCTGTTAATTTCTTCAGAAACACTTAACATCTGCCAGGTGCCTGTGGCTCATGCCTGTCATCCTAACCACTCAGGAGGCTGAGATCTGAGGATCCACAGTTCAAAGCCAGCCTGGGGAGGAAAGTTCATGAGAATCCAATTAACTACCAAAAAGCAGATAATGGAGCTATGGCTCAAGCAGTACAGTGTCATCCTTGAGCAAAAAAGTTCAGGGATAGTGCACAGGCCCTGAATTCAAGCCCCAGGAACAGCACAGAAAAACAACAAACAAAACAAAAAGCTGGATGTGTACTAGGCGTGGGAGCGAGGAGAGTGGTGAGTCTAGCCAGCAAATGGCACAGCAGCAAAAATGTGTGGGCCTTGCCACCACATGCCCAGGCTGAGAGTCTGTAGCCCAGGTTGGCCTTGAACTTGCTATGAAACTCAGGCTTGTTTTGAATCCATGATTCTCCTGCCTCCACCTCTTGAATGATGGAATTACAGGTATATACACCACAACCAGAGTGGATTTTACACTGGAAGGCAATGCTAGCCATGCAAAATGAACTCAACAGGCACCGGAGGATAACCAAGCACTCCAGTGCTGACGCAGATGTCCAAGGGCTCTGGAGTGGCAGAGAACGGCCCCAGAACCTGACTCTAGACACATTATACATCATGTGGAGTGGCACTGTGGCTCAAGCAGTAGAGCGCTCGCCTTGAGCTGAAGAGCGCAGGACAGCGCCCAAGCCAGAGTTCAAGCCCCATGACCCACCAAAAAAAAAAATCTTTCATATAAGAAATATTTTGGGCTGGGAAGATGGCTCAGTGGTAGAGTGCTTGCTTTGCAGGCATGAGGCCCTGGGTTGGATTCCTCAGCACCACATAAGCAGAAAAAGCCAGAAGTGGTGCTGTGGCTCAAGTGGTAGAGCACTCGCCTTAAGCTGAAGAGCTGAGGGACAGCGCCCAGGCCCAGAGTTTAGGCCCTACGACCAACCAAAAAAACGAAAAACCAAAAAACACATCATGTAGATGTGGCTGACTTTATTTATTTATTTTTTGGTCCAGTCGTGGGGCCTGAACTCTGGGCCTGGGCACTGTCCCTCAGCTCTTCAGCTCAAGGCTAGCACTCTACCACTTGAGCCACAGTGCCATTTCTGGCTTTTTTCCTTTTTGCTTATGTGGTGCTGGGGAATCGAACCCAGGGCCTCATGCATGCAAGGGAAGCGCTCTACCACTGAGCCACCTTCCCAGCCCCGATGTGGCTGACTTTAGTCTGGAGCGGCATTACTCCCGTGATTTTGTTTCTGGATCCTTTAAGATCATCTGCCAAAGTGTGCAGAACAAGTTCTGCGCTATGGCTATGCATGGCCTAGATGTGCTACATGCAGCATGGCCAATCTTCATGGAAAGGATCTCTGGACCCCGGATGTCCTGTGATGTCCCTGTATCCTCCAGTCCCAGAGGCTTCCTGATCAGAATACAAGTGTCAGTAAATATGGTCAGAACAATAGAGCTACTTCCGCATGGAGTGAAAACCTCAAGACCTTGGACGTGCACAGATAGTTGTGTTTCTTGATGCCACTTTGTGGAGGGCAGTTGGAAGCCGGGTGGAAACTCTGGTGACCACAGTTGTGTGGAAGCCAGGAAAGGTGACTTGTAAAACTGTGCACCTATCCAGCTAGAGCAGGTCCCACCTTCCCTCAGTCAAAGTGGACAGGGTTGTATGGGAGAGGGGCTGCAGGAACAGCTCTCATGGTGACTCCACACATCCTGCCTGGATCATGATATTCTGGCCACGCCCCCTATTTTTCCATGTTTCTCTCAGACCAATGGGGTACAAGACTCGAGGCCATGCCTACATTCCATGCTACCTAGTAGCACTGGTATCCCCTCCATTGGCTCACACCACTACCAGCAGTAGAGGGAGGTAGAGGTGTGGAGTGGTGAGTGACCGAATTGAGGTGATGTTGGAGTTACAGTAGGAAGTAGACGTCATTAGTGGTGATTGGGAGGACAGAGGTGATTTCAGAGAGCCTGGGAATGTGGCCCCCCCCACCTTCCACGTCCCAGGGCTGGGATGTCTGAGCTAACAAAGCAAAAAAAAATTAGCTGCAGGAAAGAAGCTCTTGCAAGAATACCAGCAGAGGAATTGTCCTGATGAGCCTGTAGAATTCAAGAACACGAAGAAAATTAAAAAGGGAGGGAATCCCAAGACAAACACCACTGGGGACTGCAGTTCAACTGAGGGTACAGCCAAAGACCATGTTGACCCTGAACTTCCCCCTCCATTAGGCACAGTTAGAGCTGCCAGGGTCAGAAGTGTTTCTGGTCCCAATAACACTGAGGACTCTGAAAGGCGCTACCAACACCTAGTGCTTGCCTTGGACTCCAGCCGAACATAAAACCAGCAGCTCTGCAGTGAGCTCCAACCACTGAAGCAAGAAAAGAAAGACCTGCAGGATCAACGAGAAGATGGCTTGTGTGCAGGAAGCACCGAAAACAAAGCTGGAGCTCCGCAAGTTATCAATACAGAACTTGGCTTCAGAAAAATTCGATTTCCAATCTGCACTGGCCCACATGCAGCAGGTGGCCAACAAGGAGCAAGGAGGTCTCACCAGCCGCCTGCAGGCTGCACAGCAGTGGGTGGCAGAGCTAGAGATGGCACTGTCTGCAGACAGAGAGAGACCAACAAGAACAACATAGAACTCATTAAAGACCTGAGTAATGTGAAGCTGCAGCTACAGAAGAAGATCAGAATGTATGATGACCTGGAAGAAGTGAACACCGACCTGCAGGAGAGGCTCGAAGTGCTCCTGACACAGAAGGCCGACATGAAGATCAAAATTCACGAGTTACAACAAGCACTGGAGGAGCGGGCAGCATCAGAAAGACAAATTGACAATATGAGAGAGTTGGTGACAACATTAAAGTTGGAGAGAGACACCTTTGCAGAGGACCTGAGGGTGGAGAGCTCCAGGGGGAAGGAGAAGGTCCAGCAGCTATTAGAGCAGATGAGCCGACTGAGAGAGGAGAAAGAGCAAGGGGTGAGGCAGGTGTTGGACCTAGAGACCAACCTGGTGCAGCTCTCAAAGCAGCTGGCAGAGCTGCCGCCCCCGCAGCCCCCTGCAGAAGCATCTCAGGCTGAGCAGCAGCTGCAGGCTGAGGCCCACCAGATGCAGAAGGAGCTCAAGAACCTGGAGGAAGAACTTCACATCCAGATACAGGAAAACCAAAGCCTCAATCTCCAGAACCTGGAGCAGCAGCAGCAGCAGCGGCTGTGGATACTGGAGAAGAGGACTGAGGAATGGGATCAGCATGTTGAGGATCAGCACAAGACCCTCAAGAGAATGGAAAAGGAACATGAGTCCATGAGATGCACCCTTGTGCAGAATGGAGAGCTGAAAGACCAGCTGACCCAGCTGCAGGATGCCTTCCTTCCACAGGCTGCGCGGTGAGAAGGAGGAGCTCGCCAGCATCCTGCACGCAGAGCAGCAGGTGAAGAAACATCTGCAGGAGAAGCTGGACCAGCAAGAGGAGAAGTTAGAAGAATGGAAAGAGATGGCCGAGTTCAAGAGCCAAGCAGCTCAGAATCTGCAGGAGCTGCGTGACCAGTCCCTGGCCCAGCTCAGGAGCTCAGAGCTACCTGTGAACAGCACCTGGCTTCCAATCAGCAGCTGAGCTCAGAGAAGGAGGCCCTGCAGCAGCACCTGCTGAGGCAGGCCCAGCTGCTGGAGCAGCTAGAGCAGGAGCAGGTACAGAGCAAGATGGAGGACCAGATGGTCTCTCAAAATTTACAGGACACACTGAAGTGCCTGGAAGCGAGAAGACAGGAGAATGAGCAGCTGCGGGCCCAGCTGAGCTTCCTAGCTCTCCCTAGGAAAGGTGAAGGAGTGAGCAAAGAGGAGAAGGGTGAGGAGGCCACTCCCCCTGATGTGACTGTCCCAGAGGACGAAGACAACCCACACATCATGTGGAATTTTTACCTACAAATACTATCCACTGCTGAATCAAGGAAGGCGAAGCTTAGGCAGCAGCTGCAGGAGCAGCAGGCCCGCTGCAGGTGTCTGGCCAGCCTGGCAGCCCAGTACCAGAGAAAGCAACAGGCCCTCCTCCCCAAGAACTGGAACCACGGTGTGTCGGTATGTCTGGGGACAGGAAGGACACACAGGTGCCCAAGAAGCAGCCGAAAATCTGCTTCATCCACGACCTGCCCGACAAGGTGGACTCCCGGAATCAAGTGGATGACCTCCACCATCGGTGCAGCCAGCTGTCAAAACAGATCAGCGTCATTGAAGAGTCCCTAGTTGGCTATAAAGAACAGATGGAAGTCCTGGATGAGCTGTATCAGGAGAAAGATGAGTGTCAATCAGCTGTCCCAGGAGAAGAGGGAGAAGAAAAAGGAGCTGCAGGAGCTGTTGTTGCGCCTTGCAGGCGAAGGCACAGAGTGCCAGGAAAAGACACTAGAAGCTGTGCAGACCCCTGCTGCTAACACCTCAGACCTGTTGGGCTCCATGAAGATGGAAGTTATGGAGGGGCAGCAAGGTTCTAAAGGGGTGCGACTTGAAGACAACATGGAGCCTGCCCAGGGAGAGGCTGGGGTGCCATGCTCCCAGGGGACCTTACCACAGAACAGATCCTGCCACTGAGGCCCGATATCCAGCACCACCAAGAGAGTGCAGGCTTGTGCAACCCACCTTCCTTCCCTTTCTTCTTGGGACTCATGCAAATGATGGGAAGGCTAACTACAAGCCAGAAAAGGCAGGGGCTGCTGGGAAGTGGCCCAAATACTAGGGACATCTAATAGTCCACTGGTAGCAAGGGAACAGGGCCCACATGATGGATGGTTATTGTAAGGTCTGCTCCAGGATGGCAAGCAGACTCCACCCTCCTCCCTCCTCGCAGCAAAGTCTCCACCCAATACCTGGGTTACCTAGGCAACTGGCAAACCAGGAAGAGGTCACATCTGCATCCTGAGGTCACATCTGAATTTGATGTGGCCACACCTTTCTCTGCCCATACCCTAAATAAGGCCTAGCCCAGGCCCAGAGGCTCTCTTTCTTTTCTAGCTCTCTCTTTCCCAGCTCTCCCCTCTCTTTCCCAGGCCTTTCCCTGCTACGTGGAGGGCCAAGATGGCCTGGTGCCAGCCAGAATGATGAATAAACCTACCCCTTACCTGAATACCATGTGCGTGGTGCTGTTCTAAACGTTAAAAAGAGGTAGCCCAGTAAGAACAGCACCACGCACGTGGTATTCAGGTAAGGGGTAGGTTTATTCACAGTTCTGGCTGGCACCAGGCCATCTTGGCCCTCCATGCGGCAGGGAAAGGTCTGGGAAAGAGAGCTGGGAGAGCTGGGAAAGAGCTGGAAAAGAAAGAGAGTGTCTGGGCCCGGGCTAGGCCTTATCTGGGTATGGGCCGAGAAAGGTGTGGCCACATCAAATTCAGATGTGACCTCTTCCAGGTGTGCCAGTTGCCTAGATAACGCACGTACTGGGTGGAGACTTTGCTGTGATGAGGGTAGAGTTTTGCTGGCCATCCACGAGCGGACCTTACAGTTATTACAGAGTAAAGTCTTTACAAAGGAAGATAGGGAGTGACGGTAGAGTTTTCGATTAACATATTAGACATATTAGTGATATTTCATGAATGACTTCCATATTAGCAAACTCATTATATTATTATGTTAATTTATGGAGTCATTTTCACAATTCTTTATACTTTTTAAGGAAAAAAATTATTTTTTCCTTAAATGAATTATTTCATTATTTCACATTATATGTTGGTGCATTCATGTGTTAAAAAAATCAGTGTGGGCTGGGAAGGTGGCTCAGTGGTAGAGCGCTTGCCTTGCATGCATGAGGTCCTGGGTTCCATTCCTCAGCACCACATAAGCAAAAAAGAAAAAAACTGGAAGTGGCGCTGTGGCTCAATTGGTAGCTTGAGCCTAAGAGCTGAGGGACAGCGTCTAGGCCCAGAGTTCAGGCCCCACGACCGGACCAAAAAAAAAAAAAAATCACAGTGTGGCTAGCAACACTGAATTTTCTTGTTTGTATCTTAATATACTACAACAGGACACTGAAGTGAAAAAACAGTACAAACTGAAAAAGAAAATGTTATTAAAGCTGACCGTTTGGGAAAAAGAAGTAATATTAACAGAACAAATGTGGGTATCCTACAGTGGAAAAACATACACCAAAGAAGTGCAGGAATATAATACAGAATAACATACACAGTTACTGAACAGCTATAGTGAGAATATCAATTATTTCAAATTTCACTTACAAATTGTTCAAATGACAAATGTGGCATATTGTTCATTGGATCAAATAAAATATTAAAAATTTTTAAAAAATGAAGTAGTGTGGCTGAAATCCTGAGTTTAAGTCCTAATAGGACAGAAAGAAAGAAAAGAAAGAAAGAGAGAGAGAGAGAAAGAAAGAAAGAAAGAAAAGCTAGGCACTAGTGCCTCATACCAATAATCCCAGCTACTCAGGAGGACCTCGGTTTGAAGCTAGGACCAGGCAGGAAAGTTCATGAGACTCATATCTGTAATTAGCCACCAGAAAGATGGAAGTGGAGATGTGGGTGGCTCAAGTGGTAGAGTGTTAGCCATGAGCAAAAAAGCTCAGGGACAGTACCTAGGCCCAAGCCCCAGGACTGGCACAGAAGGAAGGAAAGAAGGAAGGAAGGAAGGAAGGAAGGAAGGAAGGAAGGAAGGAAGGAAGGAAGGAAGGAAGGAAGGAAGGCAGGCAGAAGGAAGGAAGGAAGGAAGGCAGGCATTGAGGGAGGGAGGGAGAGAGGAAGGGGGAGAGGGAGGGGGAGAGAGAAGGGGAGAGGGAGGGAAGAGAGGAAGGAGGGAGGGAAAGGGAGGAAGGGAGGGAAGGAAAAGAAAAGAAAAAAGGAAAGGAAGAAAAAAAGAAGGAGGAAGGAAGGAAGAAAGGAAAGAAAAGCAAAAAAGGAATAATTGAGGCTCCTTACCTTTGTACTTTCAGTAGTTTTGGGGGATTTAATCTTCAAGATTCCATGTTCTGGCCAATGCATAAAAATGGCATAAACAGTTGACCCTTTGGAGGTATACCTGGCAACAGAGAAATATCATTGTCTAAGATCCCTGGCTTGTTTCCCTGAACACAATCTTAGACTTTCCCCTTCAATCACCTACTAAATCCAAGCTCTGCGGTCTGTCATTGCTGCTAGGAAACATCATTACCCCAACCCAATTTAGTCTGGAGGATGGAAGTGGCCTGTAAAACTCTGAGATCAGCCAGGCCATGGGGGCTCATGCCTGTAATCCTAGTTACCCAGGATGCTGAGATCTGGGCATCACAGTTCAAAGCCAGCCTGGGTAGAAAAATCTGTTAACTTCAATTAACCCATAAAATGCCAGGGAGGAGGTACAGGTGTGGCTTATGTGGTAGAACACCATATGTGCAGGGAAAAAGCCAAAGGAAATCACCAAGTGACAACCTCCCATGTAGCTCCTATTTTTCCTCTCACAGGGTATAGATTTTCTAATTACAGAAGGTGGTCTTGTATAACCTAGGCTGGCCTCCAACTCTCAGTCCTCCTGCCTCAGCCTCCGAAGTGCTGGGAATGCAAGTGTGTGTCACCACACACGGCATACATTTCCTTTCAACTCTTGCTGGGTGTAGCAGTACACCTTAGTTATAGCTACTGGGGAGGCGGTGGCAGGAGAATCACATGAGCCCAGGGCCAGGCCTGGCTGATCAAGTCAAACAATAAAAACAACACACTGACTCTTGTGCTAGCTCTCTCACTGTTATCACGACAGCCATTTCCTTATTGTTCACATCTTTAGAACCTGAGAATAGCAGGAGAGACAATTTCCCTTGATTGAGGGACAATAGACAAGAAGACAAAGTTGTCCTCGGATTTTACTGTGTCTGAGAAAGAGAATGAAAAACCACAAGTAGCCATTCAGCTAAGGCTTTTTGTATTAAGCTGGCACTGGGGCTTGAACTCAGACCCACTGAACTCTCATTTGGCTTTTCCTGATCAAGGCTGTTACTCTACCACTTCTGGCTTTTTGCTGGTTGACTGGAGATAGAGTCTCCATCCTTGAATCTCAGCCTCCTGAGTAGCTAGGATTATAGGCAATGGGTCAGCTGTGTCCAGCCCTAAGGGATACATGTGTTTCCCTGAGCCAAGACCGAGCTGCTTGGTGTAACATGGTCATTCACCAGTTTTGGATACTTTCTGAACAGTTAGTGCTACATTCTCTCATCATCAAAACAACTCTACACAGTATACCATCCTATTCTGTAGTTGAACAAAGCTGAGGCCTAAGATCACATAACCAGAAGTCCAAGGCCAAAGGGAAGGACTTAGAACAGGTGGCTGTCCTTTGCTGATGCTATAGGAGCATCAACTAGCAGCATTTCCCGCTGGGTAGGAGAAAATGCTTTGTAGCCCCAATACCCGCCTCTCAATTCTGGTGTCCTAAAACACACCCAAAGGGGACACCAAGTTGATAGCAAGAGAGCAGCCGTTGAATTTTCCAGGCCTGGCTGACAAGCAGGACAAAGGAAGTCAGGTCAGCAGGGGCCTCAGAGCTCACCACACAGTCCTCTTGTCCTTCTCCATTTGGACCCTCCATGGTCTGGTGGAGTAGATGGCCTCACCACTGACATTCAGCCACTTGCCAATAGTCAGAAGCCTTTCTTGGAAGATAGGGTCAATCAGTCCCTCACGAGTGGGTCCGATGTTGAGCAGGTAGTTGCCTCCCAAGCTTACTGTCTTAACCAGTTCCTACACAGCGAGAAACAAGGCAAGTCAAGCTGTGGCAGATGTGGGAAAGAAAACCTAGGTCACAGTCTTCCAGCCCTTCCCCAACCCTTTTTTTTTGTCAGTCCAGGGCCTTGAACTCTGGGCCTGGGTACTGTCCCTGAGTTCCTTTTGCTCAACACTAGTACTCTACCACTTGAGCCATAGCTCCACTTTTTTCTGTGATTAACTGGAGATGAGAGTCTCATGGAGATAAGAGTCTCATGGACTTTCCTGCCCTGGCTAACTTTGAATGCTACCCTCAGATCTCAGCTTCCTGGGTAGCTAGGATTACAGGCATGAGTCACTGGTGTAGGCCTTACCCCCCACCTCAACTTTTTTTTTTTTTGGGTCCGGTCCTGGGGCCTGAACTCTGGGCCTGGGCGCTGTCCCTCAGCTCTTCAGCTCAAGGCTAGCAATCTACCACTTGAGCTACAACGCCACTTCTGGCTTTTTTCTTTTTGCTTATGTGGTGCTGAGGAATTGAACCCAGAGCCTCATGCATGCAAGGCAAGCGCTCTACCACTGAGCCACCTTCCCAGCCCTTCCCCTGCCTTTTTTGGCTGGTATTAGGGCTTAAACTCAGGGTGCACTTGCTTGGCTTTTTCTTCAAGGTTGGTGCTCTACCATTTGAGCCACAGCTCCATTTTTGGCTTTGAAAAATATACAATTTTATTGTTAAGGTATAACTTCTAGCTTTTTTTGTTGGTTAATTGAAGATGAGTCTCACGGACTTTCCTACCTGGGGCTGGCTTCAAGCCATGATTCTTAGATCTCAGCCTCCTGAGTAGCTAGGATTATAGGTATGAGCCACTGGCACCAGGCTTCATCAACAAATTTTTTTTTTTATGGTTGTGGGGCTTGAACTCTGGGCCTGGATGCTGTCCTTCAGCTCAAGACTAGTGCTCTACCACTTGAACCATAACACTACTTCTGGTTTTCTGAGGATTTTGTTGGAGATGAGTCTCACAGACTTTCCTGCCTGGGCTGGGCTGGCTTTGAACCTCGATCCTCAGATCTTAGCTTCCTGAGTAGCTAGGATACAGGTGTGAGCCACCAGCGCCCAGCCATCAACAAATTTTAATGACGGAAACTCTCAGATCTATTACCTGCCACACTAATGTTAATAGGGCTGAGAGTGTGACCAGAGGCAGAGCACCTGCCCAGCCTGCCTGCACAAGGCCCCTGTTCAATTCCCAGCACTGAAACAAAGAGAGACCAACCAACCAACCTAATATGGGGGTGCTTACCTTAATGATCTCAAAGGCAGGTAAGATGTCAGACAGGAGCATGTCACATCGGTAACCCCAGGACTTTCTGTCGATGCTTGTACACATCTCCCACTTGTGATCTGGCAACTTCTCAGGCTTGTACTTATCTTGACAGTTGAAGTATCCACCATGATGGCAGGAGCAGCCCTGGCCCCATCTGTCATTCACCACCACCTCATCCTAAAGGAGGGAAGAGTGGGGTCACTGTGGTAGCTCCACAGGGCAGCCAGACTAGAAACAAGCAAAGCAAATCTATCCACAGCAGTTGTTTTCCAACCAGTTGTGCTCAGGAGGGGAGGCCTGGCAGTCTAGAGACCTCTCAGGCTGTCACACAGAGTGCTACTGCCCTCTAGTGGGAAGACACCAAGGTTGCCAGTAAAAAACACTACAGTTGGGGCTGGGAGAAGCTGTGGTACAGGGCATCTGGGACAGAAAACACTTTCAGGAGACAAGACATGAAGAGGAACTTGCCTGAGCTCAGAATTTCCTTCCTTCCTTCCTTCCTTCCTTCCTGCCTTCCTTCCTTCCTTTCTTCCTGCCTTCCTTCCTTCCTTCCTTCCTTCCTTCCTTCCTTCCTTCCGTCTTCCTCCTTCCTTCCTTCCTTTCTTTCTTTTGCTGGACCTGGGGCTTGAACACTGGACCTGAGGGCTGTCCCTGAGCTCCATTTTTTGCTCAAGGCTACCACTAGAGCCACAGAGCCACTTCTAGCCTTTTCTGTGACTAACTGAAGAGTCTCACAGACTTTCCTGGTTGGGCTGGCTTTGAACCATGATCCTCAGATCTCAGCCTCCTGAGGTAGCTAGGATTATAGGTTTGAGCCACTGGTGTCTGGCCAAACTCTGCCTTTCTAAGTAACCAGGCATACAGGCAGAAGCCATGACACATGGATTCTTCTTCTTCTTTAAATTATTTTGCTGTTTTTTTTTTTGTTTGTTTTTTGTTTTTGTCGGTTGTGGGGCCTGAACTCTGAAAGGCCCTGTCCCTCAGCTCTTCAAATTAAGACTAGCACTCTGCCACTTGAGCCACAGCGCCACTTCCGGCTTTTTCTGCTTGTGTGGTGCTGAGGAATTGAACCCAGGAATTCATGCACGCGAGGCAAGCGCTCTACCACTGAGCCACTTTCCCAGCCCTATTTTGCTGTTTTGACAGGAGGCTCTTTCAGCTGCCTTTGCCCAGTCTGGACCTAAACCTCAAGTCTAACTTTTACCTCCATCTCCACTGCAACTGGGATTAAAGAAAAGTCAGCAAGCCAGCAAAAACCAAAAGTAGATATGTGCATTGTTACAATGGGTCAGGCTGTATCCTTATTTAAGCATTTTGTTTTTTCCCTTCCCCTCCCTGAATTAGAGAAGTGTACTAAGGCTACCAGCACAACTATGTTTATCATAGCATTATTTACCATAGCTAAGATATGGAACCAACCCAGATGCCCCTCAGTAGATTAATGGATCAAGAAAATATGGTATATATACATGCAATGGAATTCTATGCCTCCATCAGAAAAAATGACATTGCCCCATTTGTTAGGAAATGGCTCTCTTAAAGAACACTGGGGGCTTGGAAGGTGGCTCAGTGGTAGAGCACTTGCCTTGCATGCTCGAGGCCCTGGGTTCGATTCCTCAGCACCACATAAGAAAAAAGCCGGAAGTGGCGCTGTGGCTCAAGTGGTAGAGTGCTAGCCTTGAGCTGAAGAGCTGAGGGACAGCACCCAGGCCCAGGGTTCAGGCCCCACGACCGGACCCAAAAAAAAAAAAAAAAAAGAACACCAGAAGGCAGTGTGTTATTTATTTATTAATTTTTAGTGATTTTATTAACAGTTATGAATTCTAGGAAGTGGCAGTTTCATTATGCTCTTTCCATAATATATTTAAAATACTTTATTATACACTATTTTCTATTTATTACTCCTTCCTCCAAAGATCTTGTTTTTCAAATAAAATTACATCTTTATATATGTGCATATAATGTAATTTGAAAGCTTTAAGGCAAACTGCAACTTAATTCAAGATGTACAATGGATTAACAGGGTGAATAAAAACTTGAATATTTTTTGTTTTAAAAAAAAAAAGTAGAGGGGCTGGGAAGGTGGCTCAGTGCTAGACCGCTTGCCTTGCATGCCTGAGGCCCTGTGTTTGATTCCTCAGTACCACAGAAGCAAAACGAAAAAAGCCGGAAGTGGTGCTGTGGCTCAAGTGGTAGAGCACTAGCCTTGAGCTGAAGAGCTGAGGGACAGCGCCCAGGCCCAGAGTTTATGGCCCACGACCGGAACTCCCCCCCCCCCCCCAAAAAAAAATAGAGATGTGGATCAAGTAGTAGAACTCCAGCCTTGAGTGAAAAAGCCAAATGAAGGCAGGCGCCGGTGGCTCATGCCTGTAATCCTAGCTACTCAGGAGGCTGAGATCTGAGGATCGAGGTTCAAAGCCAGCCTGGGCAGGAAAGTCTGTGAAACTGTTATCTCCAATAAACCACCAGAAAACCGGAAGTGGTGCTGTAGCTCAAGTGGTAGAGCGCTTGCCTTGAGCTGTAGAGCTGAGGGACAGCGCTCAGGCCCAGAGTTCAAGCCCCATGACTGACAAAAAAAAAAAAAAAAAAGCCAAATGAGAGTGTGAGGCCCTGAGTTCAAGCTCTAGCACTGGTAATAAACTCAAAGAAAATTCAGAATTAAAGACAAAAAGAAGCCAGGAGATGGCAGCTCACGCCTGGAATCCTAGCTACTAAGAAAGGTGAGAGCTGAGGATTTTGGTTCAAAATCAGCTGTGGCAAGAAAGCCCAGGAGACTCTTACCTCCAGTTAGCCACCAGAAAACCAGAAGTAGGGCTGTGGCTCAAAGTGGTACAGTGCTAGCCTTGAGGACAAGAGCTCAGGGACAGTGCCCAGGCCCTGAGTTCAAGTCTCACAAATGAAAAAAAAAAAAAAGACAAAGGTCCCATTGTACCGTGTTGATGTTACTGTCTGAGATTTCTGGAGTCCTCTGCAATAGTCCTCTCCATCTTAGCTATTGGTATTAATAGTAGTAGTAGTATTACTATTTTGATAGGGTTTCACTATGTGGCCCAGGCTTGGAACTCCACAAGCCCCCTACCTTAGATTCCAAAGCTGTGATTATAGGCATGTGCTACAACATCTGGCCATACTTCCTTTTACCACAACAGAAAAATAAGAAAGAAGTTAGATAAGTGTCTACCTTGATGGGACTGTCATTGTAGAGCCAGGCAAGAAAACTTGTGGAGTTCCAGTAAGTGTCTGGGCATTCCCAGTCCCCGTCAGACCAGATCAGATCAGGCCTGTAGCTGGAAGACAGGGAATTACAGAGGTTTATTACCCAGATATGGTTACAGTACAGTCCTTTTTTTGTGTGCATGCCATTACTGGGGCTTGAATTCAGGGTCTTGAGTTCTCTCTTAGCTTTTTTGCTCAAGACTGGTACTCTACATGTGAACCCTGCCTCCAGTCTAGCATTTTTGTTGGTTAACTGTAGATAGAGTCTCACGGTCATTCCTGCCCCCACTGACTTTGAACTGCGATCCTCTGGTCTCAGCCTCCTGAGTAGTCAGGATTACAGGTGTGAGCCAGTGGCACTCAGTCATTATTCTCTTTTTGGGTGACACAGCTGGAAATAAAGGTGCTAGATTGGAACACACCTGGGGCAGATACTCTGTCCTGCACAGGGAGGCCAGGAGCAGGCTCTGGGAAAGGCTGCTTCCCTGAGCAGTGATCGCATGCAGTCAGTCTGGTCTGGCTGTGTACCAGCAGCCGTAGGTAGTCCCTGGATAGCAATGACCTCATTGGCTCTCAGTGCTCTTGTCATATTAATCCCATTGGAGGGACAGAGAAAACAAAGCCTAGGGCTGGGAATGTGGCTTAGTGGTAGAGTGCTTGCCTAGCATGCCTGAATCCCTGGGTTCAATTCCTCAGTACCACAAAAACAGAAAAAAGCTCGAAGTGGCGCTGTGCCTCAAGTGGTAGAGCACTAGCCTTGAGCCAAAGCAGCTCAGGGACAGTGCCCAGGCTCTGAGTTCAAGCCCCAGTACTGGCAAAAAACAAAAAACAACAAAAAACAAGATCTACAAAGATCAGGTGCTTTGTTCAAGACCACATAATAAGAAAAAAGAGGGCTGGGAAGGTGGCTCGGTAAGAGCGCTTGCCTTGCATGCCTGAGGCCCTGGATTCGATTCCTCAGCACCACATCAGCAAAAAGAAAAAAGCCGGAAGTGGTGCTGTGGCTTAAGTGGTAGAGTGCTAGCCTTGAGCTGAAGAGCTGAGGGACAGTGCCCAGGCCCAGGCCCAGAGTTCAGGCCCCACGACCAGACCCCAAAAAAAAAAAAGAACCAGGATTTCAGTAATATCTGATCTGTCCAGGCCTCTGCTGGTCACCAACAACCATACCATTTCTCTGATGCAAGTCTTGTGTGTGTGTGTGTGTGTGTGTGTATGCACGCACATGTGTGTGCTAGTACTGGGACTTGAACTCCAAGCCTTAGCTCTTCCCACTCAAGGCTAGTGTTCTACCACTTCAGCCACATCTCCACTTCTGGCTTTTTGGTGGTTAACTGGAAATGAGGGTTTCACAGACGTACTTACTTTCCTGGAGCCTCAGATCTCATCTCCTGAGTAGTCAGGATTACAGGTGTGAGCCACTGATGCCTGGCAAGATTTCTGTCATTGTTCTAAGTGAGGGTCCAGGCAAAGATGACTGTCTCTAAGCTTCAAAGTTCCCTACCCTGAGGGCCCTCTCCCAACTGTGACAATGGAACTAAGCAGGGAACATGGTGAAGACCGTGGTCACTTTGTGAATAAGGACTGTGCAGCGCACCTCCTCTGCAAGCCTGGCAGTCAGCTTCACTCGTCACTCTCAGCCCTGACAGGAAGACACTGAGCCTGCTTCACAGCATGAGAACTGAGGCTCAGGGCCGAACTGTGATGACAACATGGGGTTCCAGGCAGGCTCCCTTAGCCCACACAGCTTTCTCCAAGGTTCTGACATGGGCTGGCTTTGAACACTGATCCTCAGATCTCAGCCTCCTGAGTAACTAGGATTACAGCCGAGAGCCACCGGTGCCCTGCTTAAGTTTTTTTTTTTTTTTTTTAATTTTTTGCTTTTCTCTGGTCATGGAGCTTGAACTTGGGGCCTGGGTAGTTCCTGCACTCTTTTGCTCAAGGCTAGCGCTCTACCACTGTGGCCAGAGCTCCACTTCTGGTTTTCTGGTGGTTAATTGGAGATCAGAGTCTCACAGATTTTCCTGCCCCAGCTGGTTTTAAACCATTATCCTCAGACCTCAGCCTACTGAATGGCTAGGATTACAGGCATTGAACCAACAGCACCCAGCAGGAAAAGAGGGTTTGGGTTTTTTGTTGTTGTTGTTGTTTGTAGGGCTTGAACTCTGGGCCTGGGTGCTGTCCCTCAGCTCTTCAGCTCAAGGCTAGTGTTCTACCATTTGGGCCACAGTGCCACTTCCAGTTTTCTGGTGGTTTACTGGAGATAAGAGTCTCATGGACTTTCCTGCCCGGGCTGGCTTTGAACTGTGATCCTCAGATCTCAGCCTCCTGAATAGCTAGGATTGCAGGCATGAGCCACCAGTGCCTGGCTAGGAAGGTTTGACACCAGCATCCTGGGTTCTGTGGGACTGCTCCAATTTCACTCTAGGATTACACTGCAGAAGATATGAAGAGCCAGGCATCAACCTTTCATCCTTGCTACTCGGAAAACTGAGATCTGAGGACTGTAGTTTGAAGGCAGCCTAGGAAGAAAAATCCATGAGACTTCCATCTTCAATTAACTAGCAAAAAGTTGGAAGCAAAAGTGTGACTCAAGTGGTGAAGCACCAATCTTGAGCAAAAAAGGGAAGTGAGAAACAAGGCCTTGAGTCCAAGTGGCAATACCAGCACAAGGGAAGAAGAAAAAAAAAAAGCTAGGAGGAAAGAAACTATTTTGTCTTATTTGACATTGTGTAGATTTTCTTTCATACCTGCCTGGGCCTCCCTCCCCTTTATCAGTGACTTCTAAGAAGCTCAGATTTCACAGGGAAAAGTGATGAGCCCGCAGCCACTGGTGCTGCTTACCTGTTCACGAGGTGGTACAGCTCTGGCATTGTCTTTGTATTGACAAAATGCTGGGTTTTGAGGCTGTTTTTCTTATCAATGACGTACAGTGGATGAAACCATTCCATGAGTGAGTGATAGAGGCCATAGCGGATGTTCCTAAACAGAGAAACGGAAGCAACTGGCATCATTCAAGGAACAGATCGGCTATGTGAGATCCTGTGGGATTTTGCGAGGTGTGTGTGTGTGTGTGTGTGTGTGTGTGTGTGTGTGTGTGTGTGTGTGTGTGTGTGTGTGTGTGTGTGTGTGTGTGTGTGTGTGTGTGTGTGTGTGTGTGTGTGTGTGTGTGTGTGTGTGTGTGTGTGTGTGTGTGTCCAAGTCGTTCTCCTAAATTCATTCTTACTTGCTTAAGCAGAAAGTATGGCTTTCTTATATTTTGTATGACATGGTTCAAGGAGTAGAACAATGTAAAGGGGCAACATCCAGACCCTGAGTTCAAGCCTCAGTACTGGCATTAAAAGGGGGAGGGAATTCAAACGAGGCTGGGAATGGCACAAACATTACTTCTGCACGCCCCTCCCCCCCCCCATTTCTTTTTCTGCAAATACTGGGTCTTAAACTCTGGGTCCAAATTGGGCGCTGGTGGCTCACGCCTGTAATCATAGCTACTCAGGAGGCTATCTGAGGATCCCAGTTCAAAGCCAGCCAGGCGAGAAAATCCACAAGACTCTTATCTCCAACTAACCACCAGAAAACTGGAAGTGTGGCTGTGGCTCAAAGCGGTAGAGCGCTAGCCTTGAGTGAAAAGGCTAAGGGAAGGGACAGCGTGTGGGCCCAGAGCGGGTTTCTGTTGTTGTTTTGTAGGTTGTGGGGCTTGAAATCAGGGCTTGGGTGCTGTCCCTAAGCTCCTTTTGCTCAAGGCTAGTGCTCTTCCTCTTTGAGACTCAGCACCACTTCCAGTTTTCTGGTGGTGAATTGGAGATAAGAGTCTTGGGGCTGGGAAGGTGGCTCAGTGGTAGAGCGCTTGCCTTGCATGCCTGAGGCCCTGGGTTCGATTCCTCAGCACCACATAAGCAAAAAGAAAAAAGCCGGAAGTGGCGCTGTGGCTCAAGTGGTAGAGTGCTAGCCTTGAGCTGAAGAGCTGAGGGACAGCACCCAGGCCCAGAGTTCAGGCCCCACGATTGGACCAAAAAAAAAAAAAAAGAGAGTCTCATAGACTTTCTTGGCTCAGCTGGCTTTGAACCATGATGCTCAGAGCTCAGCCTCCTGATTACAGGCATGAGCCATCAGTGCCTGGCCCATTTTCCCTTCTTATAGGCAAATATACCCAGAGTGTAAGGTTCAAATCCCATCTCTGGGGCTAGAGGTGTAGAGGGCTCAGTAGTAGAGCAGTGTTCAGCATGCAACAAGGCCCTGGTTCAATCTCCAGGACCACAAAAAATAGTTCTGCCTCTGACACTTACCTCTTCAATCTTGGGAAGTCACTTCCTCTTAAATAATGAGTATTAGGGAACATTAATTAGAAGCAGCCATGTGCTTCCTTTCCTTAACCAACATTTTCTAGGTACTGGGGTTTGGACACAGGACCCTTGGTAGGCAGAGGCTCTACCACCACTTGAGCCACATCCCCGCCTTTTTTTTTTTTTTTTTTTTAACCTGAGTTGTTATTTTTTACACAAAGTCTTGCAGGATTTTTTTTTTTTGTCTAGGGCAAGGCCATTCTCTTACCTATGAGCTCCTGAATAGCTGGAATTACAGATATAAAGCACTGCACCTGGCATTTTTATTGAGTTGGGGTTTTCACTGCCTTTTTGTTGGGGTGGGCCTCAAATCAAGATCCTCCTAATCTCAGCCTCCCAACTATCTGAGATTACTAGTATGGGGTACCATACATAGCCTTGCTTCCTGATTTTTTTTTTCTGCTTTAACTGCCCTGCCCAGTTTTCAGCTTGATCTATCATTCTCCAAACCTACCCTGAAGGCTCTTCATTGATGGCTAAGGAGGACAAAGATGAACCCTAGTCCCTGGCATGCATCCCACAGGGGAAAAGGCCTTGCACTAGAGATGGAGTATTGTGATTATACCAGTAATCACCCAACCAGACCATGGGTCACATGGAAATTGCTAAGACCTAAGCACTGTTGGTCCAAAGACCAGAAGCTGCTCGTCACTGGCTTAAATGCAACCTTAGAAAACACCCAAGAGCAGAGAAATTATGGGAACTTTGGGCGGCTAGGTTTGACAAGATGGCAGGGCTGTCATCCACAGACACGCACCTCTCCCGGAGAGCTGCTCCTAACTCACCAACCAAATCACGATGGGGACCCACGTCCTTTGAGTTCCAGTTCCAAGATGTGGGACTTGGCCAGTTTGTGAAGCCTTCATGATGCTTTGTCGTCAGGACCACATACCTGTGGACAGAAACAAGGAGAGGTCTGGCACTGTAATCACACCTGTAATCCTAGCTACTCCTGAGGCTGAGATATGAGGATTGCAGTTCAAAACTAGCCCAGGCAGGAAAGTCTGTGAAACTCTTTATCTCCAATTAGCCACCATCCCCCCCCCCCTCGCCAAAAAAAAGCCTGAATTGAAGCTGTGGCTCAAGTGGTAAGGTGCTAGCCTTCCCTCCCATTGACCAACTCCATCCTTCCCACTTCCCCATGCTTGAAGCTGAGTGGTTATTCTCTGGCACTCAACACAGAGCCCTCAAGAGCTCCTTCAGGCCTGACTTGACCTCAACAAACGGAGCTCTACTTCCCTCCCCACATAGGGTACATCCCAGCTTTCTGTTCTTCCAAAGAGGAACCCACACTCCCAACAGCCTGCAACACAGTACAAAGCTTTCTAGACTCTACTTTATTGCACAAGGCCCTGAGAAGGCAAGGTTGGGAGAATCTGCACAATACACTGTCCCCACCCTACTACACTGCCACGCAGAACCCCTTTCTTTCTTCCTCTTTGCATCCTGGAGACATCAGGGCTGAAAAGAACTCGTGCAACTCTCCCATCAGCATCCAGCGAGAAGGGGCTGGTGCTCCCACTTCTCCACCCTTGGACAAGGACCAGACTACAGACCCCAGGTTCAGAATCCCGGGGGTCTCGACCATCTGAGAGAGACTGGAGGCATGGCCCAAGTGGAAAGGGACATGAGGCATCAGGCCTCTCAATATACAGATGCCGATCGCCGCCCTGAACTCTTCATTTTTCAGAACACCCCCTCTCCCCATCAACCTGACGCACAGGCTCCTCATCAGGGGAACCACGTTCAGGTGTGCAGCCGTTAAGAGGCGAACTCAGAGCGCCCGGGTAGGTGTGTCGTGTGTGGCCTCGGGCCGGAGAGACCAAGTCCTCCACCCCTCGGGCCGGGGCCCACACTCACTTGGCCCCCGAGGCCTCAAACAGGTCGGCCCACTGCTCCGGGCGGAAGAAGCGCGCGGTGAACTGCGGCCCGAAGTCCGCGTAGGAGAAGCCGGGCGGGTAGTGCCGGCGCATGAACTGCTCGTAGCCGGCCTGCGGCTGGCCCTGCCAGTGCCACCAGAACCACTCGCTGCCCCACGCCGGCACCGAGAACACGCCCCAGTGCACGAACACCCCGAACTTGGCTTCATCGAACCAGCTCGGCAGGGGCCGGGTGTCCAGGCTCACCCAGTCAGCGGTGTACCGGCGCGGAGTTGCAAGGGTCGACTTGACCGAGACCACCACCGGCACCAGCCCGGTGACCACCAGACACAACCAGCATTTCGGCTCCCGCATCGCGGCTTCCGCGTCTGCACGATCTCCTCCTACTGCGCAGGCGCGGGCGAGGGAGCCCCCGCCAACCCGACTGACGATTGGCTCAGAAGTTAATAAAGAAAATTAGGAGGTCGGGTCAGAGCGGGCCAATCCGGTGGAGCTCTGTTAACTCCATCGCCCTCTGGCGTTCAAATGGAGAAATTGCAAGGAAGGCGTTGACCGCGCTGTGCTTTTAGTGGCTGGGAGACTGAAAGAGTCCCGCCCCCCACCCCTCCCCAAGGATTTACCTGTGAGGTTAAATCGCGAAGCCCGCAAGTATGCAGAGAACCCGGAATAGTCCTCTCTGCTGCACCAATCCTGCAGGGGTAGGCTGAAGCCACATCATGGGTTTTATTTAGTGGGCATTTGGAATCATAAGGAGAATACTCACACACACACAGACGTACATATATGTCTAAATATGTATATATATGTATATGTATATCAGAGGAAAGGATACCAGAATAGATTATTAGATTGGATGGTTATTATAACGGTCCTGACAGAAATATGTGGTACAAAAAAAAATGAAAAGAAGTGGGGTTTTTTGGTTTGTTTTTTGGTTTTTTTTTTTTTGTTTTTGGGTCCGGTAGTGGGCCTGAACGCTGTCCCTTAGCTCTTCAGCTCAAGGCTAGCGCTCTACCACCTGAGCCACAGCACCATTTCCGGCTTTTTTCTTTTTGCTTATGTGGTGCTGGGGAATCGAACCCAGGGCCTCAAGCATGCAAGGCAAGTGCTCTACCACTGAGCCACCTACCCAGCCCCTTGGTTTGTTTTTTGGGTGCCAATCAATTTTTTTGGGGTGTGTGTGTGTCAGTCATGGGTCCTGAACTCTGGGCTTGGGTGCTGTCCCTCAGCTCTTCAGCTCAAGGCTTGCACTCTACCACTTGAGCCACAGCGCCCTTTCCAGTTTTCTGGCGGTTCATTGGAGATAAGAGTCTCACAGACTTTTCCTGCCTAGGCTGGCTTTGAACTGCAGGATCTTCAGATCTCAGCCTCCTGAGTAGCTAGGATTACAGGTAATTGGTGGCAATCTTAAGGCATGAATTCAGGGCTTGGACGCTGTCCCTGGACTTTTTTGCTCAAGGCTAGAGCTCTATCACTTGTGCCACAGCTCCACTTCCAGGTTTTGGTGGTTAATTGGAGGTAAGAGTCTCCTGGACTTTCTTGCCTGAGCTGGCTTCAAATCGCCTCCTGAGTAGCTAGGATTACAGGCATCAGGTACCACTGACACCCTGTGGAAAGAAGCATTTTGAGGAAAGGAGTGGGAAAAGCGATGCTGAAAAAAGACGTTGAGTATTTTCTGAGCCAGGAATTCTGAGAAATTGCAGAGCTTATCATTTAACTAGAAATCAAGAGCTCAGCAGCTGGGATGTAGTTCAGGGGCAGAGTGCTTGCCTAACGTGGAGGCCTTGGTTCAGTCTCAAGCACTATCAAGCAACTGAAGAACACACATGGCTACTGAGAAACATTTACAATGCGCAGGCAAGAAAACTAAAAGCTAAGGGACACTGGCCCTTCCCCAGGAGTGTCAGTGTGAAGCTTGCCTGGCAGGGAAGTTACCTGATGGTTCTGTAGTTGACACATACTGTACATACATACTCAGACAGGTGAGAATTTGCAAGTCAGAAGTCACATGATCTCTGGAGATACCATCAGACGGAGGACAGCAGAATGCTAAAGATGGGAGGGACGTTGAAGTTCTTGGCACCATGCTCTTCCCTAACCTTCCAGTTTGCAAAAGAGGAAACTAAGGCACTTTCCAGTCACTGAAGAAAAGAAAAAAAGAGGGTAAGAGAGTTGCCCAAGATCAGGAAGCTAGTTTGGAGCAAAGGTTGTGGGACCAAAATTTAGAACTTCACAGCTTGGGAACCTGTGTGTCTTTTCACCTACTTCTTTCTTTAGCCTGGGAGAAGTGAGAGCCAGGGTTAGCAGAAGCAAACACTTCCTCAATGATACAGGAGCACAATGGCTGTGGTCTTTTTTTTCTGTAGCTTTTGTTGTTGTTGTTGTTGGTTGTGGGGCCTGAACTCTGGGCCTGGGCGCTGTCCCTCAGCTCTTCAGCTCAAGGCTAGCGCTCTAACACTTGAGCCACAGCACCACTTCCGGCTTTTTTCTTTTTTCTTATGTGGTGCTGAAGAATCGAACCCAGGACCTCAGGCATGCAAGGCAAGCACTCTACCACTGAGCCACTTTCCCAGCCCCCCACTTCTGGTTTTCTGGTGATAAGAGTCTCACAGAGTTTCCTGCCCAGGCTGGCTTTGAATTGCAATCCTCAGATCTCAGCCTCCTGAATAGCTAGGGTTATAGGTGTGAGCCACCAGCACCTGGATTTTCTGTATTATTTTCTTTATCTTTTGTATGTTTTCTCTGAAAGATTATGTTGAAATATCATCTACAATGGTGAGCACAGACAAGCTAAGGAAACAACAAACAACTTACATACTGGTAGATGCGAGTGTCAATAGCCTTGAATATGCGGAACTTGTCTTGGGGAAAATGAAATGGCCTACTATGATCTTCATTTGTCTTTATCTACATCACTTTGGTCTTCCTGAGCAGTCTTGCCCAATGGCCATGTCTATTTCCTAGTCTAAGCAATGAGGATCTTACACAGTGATCACCAGGTTCCTTTTCCTGCCTTTCTCTCCCGCTCCAAAAATTCTCCATCTTAGGGCTGGGAAGGTGGCTCAGTGGTAGAGTGCTTGCCTTGCATGCATGAGGCCCTGGGTTCGATTCCCCAGCACCACATAAAAAAGAAAAAAAGCCGGAAATGCCACTGTGGCTCAAGTGGTAGAGCCCTAGCCTTGAGGTGAAGAGCTGAGGGACAGCGCCCAGGCCCAGAGTTCAGGCCCCATGACCGGACCCAAAAAAAAAAAATTCTCCATCTCCACTTAAAGCAGAACTGCAGTGTGACTGTGAAAGGGGAGGTTGAAAATGTAGCCATGCACTTCATTCAGTAATACTTAAAACCTAGCTTCACTCATTCAACAACTATTTACCAAGTGCCAGTTTGTGTCAGGCACTTCGGCATTTCCCTCACCACAGTAAGAAAAGATCCCTACTTTAAGAAACTTTAAGAGCTGGGCACCTGTGGCTCACACCTGTAATCCTAGCTACTCAGGAGGTTGAGATTTTAGGATTATGGTTCAAAGCCAGCCTGGGCAGGAAAGTCTGAGACTCTTATCTCCAATAAAACACCAGAAAATGGGAAATGGTGCTGTGGCTCAGGTGGTAGAGAGCTCGCCTTGAGCTGAAGAGCTGAGGGACAGCGCCCAGGCCCAGAGTTCAAGCCCCACAACCAACCAAAAAAAAAAAAAAACAAATAAACAAAACTTTAAGAAACTACAATACTGCCAGGTGCTGATGGCTCATGTCTGTAATCATAACTACTCAGGTGGCTAAGATCAAGAGGATTGAAGTTTGAGACAGCCAGGTAGAAAAGTCTTTGAGAGTCCATTTGAAAGAAAGGAAGGAAGGAAGGAAAGAAGGGATGAACAAAAGAAGGACAAATGATCCCAGTTAAAAGCTGGCCTGAGGATGTAGCTCAAGCAAGCAAGCCAAACAATCTTGAGACCTGAATTCAAACTCCAGGAAAAAAAAAAAAAAAAAATCCTCCCCAAACCAGAAACAAACAGCAACAACAAAAAATAACCCCTTCCCTAAAATCCCCAAACAACAACAACAAAACCACAGAGTGACCTTAGACAAGTATTTTTGCCTCTTTGAGGTTTCCTCAACTGTAAAACGTGGCATACTAAATCTCCCTTCCTCAGGTTAGTGTGAAGACAGACTAAGGCATTGAAAAACATTTAGGCTGGAGGTGTAGCTCAGTGGTAGAGAGCTCATTTAGTATTCCTGAGGCCCTGTGTTGAATTTCCCAACACCAGGAAACAAAAAGAAAAGGGAAAGAAAGGAAGGGGGAGCCGGGCACCTTTAATCCTAGATACTCAGGAGGCTGAGATCTGAGGATCGCAGTTCAAAGCCAGCCCGGGAAGGAAAAGTCCATGAGACTCTTTTCTCCAATAAATCACCAGAAAACCGGAAGAAGAAAACTGGCTCAAGTGGTAGCATGCTCTCCTTGAGCTGAAAAGCTGAGGGACAGTGCCCAGGCCCAGCATTCAGGCCCCATGACCAGTTTAAAAAAAAAAAAAGGAAGGGGGAAGGGGAGGGAGGAAAGAAAAAAAGCACATAGTAGAGGCTCAATAAAAGCTGTGGTGTGTTTGATCAGAGCATTTAGAAGCTCTAAAGTTGCTTCTGGGGATCCCTGTCATGTGGCTGATTTCCTTCCTGGAGCCAACCACAAAGCATTTTAGTTATTTACTTATTGACTCTAGTCTTGTCACGTACAGCAAGCCCCGAGGGCCAAGCCGGAGCCCAGGTGGCACATGCTTATGAGGAGGGGTGGAGTGGCTGTGAGTATGACAGGAATCCACATTTCTTCACTCCTTCCTTTTATTGCATCTGTGGTCCGGGATAAGGGGGGCGGGGTCAGAACTTATCCTCCATCCACCATTTCTCTCACCTGCTGGTTTCAAGCCTGTGTCCTAGGAACCCAGGCCCCTGCTCCCCATGTAAAATCCGGGCACCCTGCTATCTTCAGAATCTCCAGCTGAACTCTAGCTCAGCCACTGGACTTTGTCCTGCCTGTGCCTGGACAGCCTATGGCTAAGAATCCTCCCCCCGCCCCCACCTTCCTGGTTATTTGCTTATCATCTGTGGCAGGTGTGGAGAAGGAAGGGGCTGAGCAGAAGTGGGGGGGGGGGGCAGGACTTGGAACATGCTGGGGGCTTAGGGAATCTTTGTGACTGTACACAGGACACCCTGGGATCAGCATAGTTTTCTGAACAGTCGTTGTCACAGTGAACCCAGCCTGCCCTGGTCCCCCAAGGACCTGGGGCCCCCGTAGCTGGGAGAGAGGACTATCAGAAGTGAGGGTCTGGGCCCCTGCCTTGAACACCCAGATGCCTCATCTGATGATTTGAGGTTTCTCTCCTCTGAAAGCTGTGAGTGTGTGTGTGTGCGCGCGCGTGTGTGTGTGTGAATCCCCTTGCTCCCCATCCCGTCACTGTGCTGGGGGGGCTCAGGTGGGTAAGGGTGACAGGAACAAGAGCGGGCGGGTCATGCCAGGCTTCAGCAGGAAGACAGCCTTGGAAGATGGGAACAAAGTTGCTGGCCTAGATGGCACTGGTCAGGATACCCCGAGCGCTCTGAACAGTCCTTCTTTTTAGGTCTCCTGAGTCCCAGGCCCCCCACTTAGCAAAAGACAAAATAAAAGGGGGTGCAAGGGATGGGTGGCACCCATGTCCAGTCCCCTGGATGATGAGGGCCAGGACCCCTTCCTCCACCCCCAGGATGAGAACTGATGTCTGTGGATTGGTGGGAGGAGGGACAGAGGCCTCCTCAGTCCGTCGGAGCAGCACAGGATTCTGGAGTGTGATCGGAGGTGAACTTCCCATCCGCCTCCGTCTCGGTGACTGAGGACCTGGCGGCTTCTTCTTTGCCTTGGAGGTCGCGGTCCCACAGGAACTTCCTCCAGCGGGCCAGGTGGTGGTGGGCGGAGGAGCGGATCTCCCTGCTGCGCAGGCCGTAGATGACGGGATTGACCATGGAGTTGACCAGGCACAGCATGCAGCAGAAGGCGAAGGCCTCTTTGACCTGGCGGCTCAGTGGCGTGGCCAGGCTGTACACCATGAGGCTCAAGGCAGGCAGCCAGCAGAGGAGCAGCACAGCCAGCACCAGCCCCAGGGTCCTCGCCAACCTCACATCCAGCCTCATCCGGACCATTCCTGCCACCTGGCTCTCTTGGTGCTCTGCCAACCTGACTGCGTGCTGGTGGGCCTTCCAAAGGACACGCCCATAGATGTAGATGATGCCGGCGAAGAGGAGGGCGATGAAGAGGAGCCAGCCCAGAAGGTAATCATTGGGGATCAGTGGGAAAAGCTCCGAGCAGGGCTTGGGGCAGCAAGTCCACCCCATGAGAGGCAGGTAGGAGATGAAAGCCGAGACGACCCACATGACACCTAAGGCCACCAGCGCCCTCCCCCGGGTGAGGAGAGTTTTGTAAGCGGGTGGGTAGAGCAGACAGAGGTAGCGGTCAGCTGCGGTCAGCAGCAGGCTGCCCACAGAGGCTGTGAAGGTCAAAGTCACACTGCCGATCTTGAGCAGGAACCCAGTCATGGTGTCCCTGCCATGGAAGACGTGGAAAATGACGAAGTTGTAGGCGAAGACCACGCTGGCCAGGAGGTCAGCCCCGGCCAAGCTGCCGATGAAGAGGTAGGAGGGCTTCCTGCAGAGCCGGCGTGAGGACGCGATGAGGTAGAGCACGGCCAGGTTCTCCAGGGCGCTCAGCAGGCCCAGCAGCAGGCACAGCACCCCGACCACGGCCGCCTGGGAAGGGCTGAGGATCATGTAATCCTGCATCGGGTTGAACTCCAAGCCCCCCTCGGAGCTGTTGACCGGCCTCAAACCCCAGCATGCCTCCATGGGCTGGGCCTGCAGGGCTTGGCTGCAGACAAGGACAAGAAGTTCTTTCAGTTGGAGCAGGAGTGGACAGACACCTGGCTATTGACACCAATCAAAGGTTTACCTGTGTGGATAAGTCACCTGTGGGGGGGAAAACACAATTTATTTTAGTTGATTCGTTTGTTTGTTTGTTTCTGTTGGTGGTAGAGCTTGAACGCTGGGCCTGCGCACTGTCCCTCAGCTCTTCAGCTCAGGGCTAGCGCTCTACTGCTTGAGCCACAGCACCACTTCTGGTTTTCTGGTGGTTTATTGGAGATCAGAGTCTCACGGACTTTCCTGCCCAGGCTGGCTTTGAACCGAGATCCTCAGATCTCAGCCTCCTGAGTAGCTAGGATTACAGGCATGAGCCACCGGCACCCTGCTAATTGATCTGTTTCTGTGCTGGGACTAGGGCTTGAACTCAGGTCCAAAGGGCACTGGCCCTTAGCTTGTTTCATGCAAAGCGGGCACTCTACTACATTTTGGCTTTTGAGTGGTTCATTGGAGATGAGAGTCTTGCAGGCTTCTTGTTTTCTGCTCTGGCTGGCTTTGAACAGTGACTCTCAGGTCTCAGACTCCTCAGTAGCTAGGATTATAGGCCTGAGCCACCAGTTGTTGCCGAAAAAAAAATCAATTTATATTGTATTGTCCTGGGGTTTTGCCTTTTCTCCAATCAGGGTGCCAGGGCTATGGGAATGCAACCAGATTTTTTTTTTTTTGGGGGGGGGGAAGGTTCTTGACAGGTAGCCTAGGTTGGCCTTGAATCGTGACCTTCCTGTCTGAGGAGGGCTGGTTTTGTAGGCATGCACTGTGATGCCTGGCTAACCTGTCAGCTTTCTGGCATTTTGCTTACCCAATGACTAATCTTTAAGTCTTCCTTTTGAAAGCTAGGGAAATGCCCAAGAAACAACAACAACAACAAAAGAGAAAAACAAAAAGAGAAAAGGGAATCTGGTTTATTTTATTGCTTTTTAAAGATCCAATAATGAGGATTAAATTTAGGGCAAGCAGTTGAGCCATGCCTTAGTCCTTTTTAGTTTGTTTTTCTTTTTCTTTTGTCTTTTTTCCCCATCCTAGGCACTGTTCCTGCGCTTCCTTTGCTCAAAGCTAGCACTCTACCACTTGAGCCACAGCACCACTTCTGGTTTTTTCTATTTATGTGGTACTGAGGAATCAAACCTAGGGCTTCATGCATGAGAGGCAAGCACTCTACCACTAAGCCACCTTCCCAGCCCATTTGTTTTTCAAGTAGAGTTTCCTGCTTTTGTGGAAGCAGGCCTTGGACATGGCTCCTCTTATTACTACTAGGAAGAGATTACAAGTGTGTGCCACTATGCCAGGCCCCGGGTGATGAAGTTTTATAACTATCTGGGGGTGAAGGATCACACTTTTTCTTTACATAAAGTGGGAGAAGATGAAGTCTCGAAGATAAAATATTCCAGATAAGATAGAGACGTCTATTCTTGGCCTCATCTCGTGTCTGGCTTGCTGCAATTGCTTGTTCAGGGGTTCCTGGCTTTTCACTAGACCTGTTGCTACCCTATTTTAACATAGCAGCTAGGGTGAACTGTTCACAACATGTCACCCCTCTGTTTCAAATGATGGTAGCTTCTCATTCACAGAAAGAAAAAAAAAAAAGCCCTCACAGTGATCTAAAAGGCCTACGAGTTGTATCTATAATTGCCTTTCTGAACTCCCATCTACCACAGTTCATTTAGTCTCTAAGCTTCAGGCAGTTTGTTTTGTTTTGTTTTTTGTTTTGTCAGTCATGGGGCCTGAACTCTGGGTCTGGGCGCTGTTCCTCAGCTCTTCAGCTCAAGGCTATTGCTCTACCACTTGAGCCACAGCACCACTTCCTCAGGCAGTTTGTTTTTGTTGGTCATGGGGCTTGAACTCTGGGCCTGGATGCTGTCCCTGAGCTTTTCAGCTCAAGGCAAGCATTCTACCACTTGAGCCACAGCACCACTTTTGGTTTTCTGGGGGCTAATTGGAGATAAGAATCTCATGGACTTTCCTGCCAGGGCTGGTTTTGAACCACGATTCTGAGATCTCAGCCTCCTGGGTAGGTAGGATTCCAGGTGTGAGCCACCGGCGCCCGGCTTTGCAGTCTTTCTGCATTACCTCAGGGCCTTTGCACTGGCCATTCCCTCTGCCTGGAACACCCTTTCTCTCGCTTTCCCATCTTGGCTCAGATTTTACCCTGACTACCCTGCAACTTACCTCAGCCTCCAGTTTTCTCAGCTTCATTCACACCAACTTACTCCTCATTTTTTCCTATCATCTATCTTATCCTATACCTTATCCTATATATACCTTATCCTATAACACTTACCTAGTTTATTGTCTTGTACATTGCATTTTCCATTAGAATAGAAGCACCACAGATCATGATTTGAAGCCAACTTGGGCAGAAAAGTCTGTGAGCCTTCATCTTCAATTAACCAGAAAGGTGCTAGACTGGAAGTGTGGCCCAAGTTGTAGAGCACCACGTGTGAGCAAGAAAGTAGAATAAGAGCTCAAGTCCCTGGGCTCAAGTGCCCAGGGACTCAATATAAGCTTCATGCAGTCAGGGACTTGGATGGATTTGTTCACTGAGACATCATAAGGGCTTAGAATAGGTTCTGGCGAGCTGGGTGCTGGTGGCTCATGCCTGTAATCCTAGCTACCTAGGAGGCTGAGATCTGAGGATTGTAGTTCAAAGCCCAGGCAGGAAAGTCTGTGAGACTCTTATGTCCAATTAACCCCCAGAAAACTGGAAGTGGCACTGTGGCTCAAGTGATAGAGCGCTAGCCTTCAGCTGAAGAGCTCAGGGACAGCGCCCAGACCCAGAGTTCAAGCCCCACAACTGACAAAAAAAAAAAAAAGAATACTTTCTGGTACATATTAAATACTCAGTAAATACTTGTGTAGTCAAGTCTAATTAGAATTGCATAGTGAGCAATTCTAGCATTCTCTTGTTGGAACTTGATAAACATAGTAGATAACACTTTTTCCACAAATGATTTTTTTAAAAGTAGAGTCTCTCTTTGTAGCCCAGGCTGGCCTTGGGATTCTCTTGCCTCTTCCTGAGTACTGGGATTGCAGGTGTGTCACCATGCCTGGCATCAGATAGCATATTAATTAATAAGGATGGACTATGTCTGGGTGTACAATGGATGGGCTTGCTTATAGTCATGTTTAGTGCCCGGCACCAGAAAACTGGGGAACACACATTTGAAGCCAATGCAGACACTCACCAAAATAGACTGAATCCTAGATGAGATGTAAATTGATGGCGCTGGGACTTGAACTCACGGCTTCATGCTCTTGCAAGGCCACAGTTCTACATCTAGCTTTTGGATGGTTTATTGGACAAACAAATCTCACAGAGTTTCCTGCCTGGTCTGGCTACAGATATGAGCCAATAGTGCTAGGCAAGAACTTTAAAAATATATGACTAGTAAATTTCATAGGGATGAAACCTTAAAAACATACCATAAATGAAGTTATAAAATATGTGCAGCTGAATGATACGAAATTGCAACGCATTGTAATTTGTGAGTTGAGCCTGGTGCTGGTGGTTTACACCTGTAATCCTACTCAGGAGACTGAGATCTAAGGATTGAGGTTTGAAGCCAGCCTGGACAGAAAAGTCCCTGTGAGACTCTTTTGTGTGTGTGTGCATGCCAGTCATGGGGCCTGAACTCTGGGCCTGGGTGCTGTCCTCAGCTCTTCAGCTCAAGGCTAGCGCTCTACCACTTGAGCCACAGTGCCAGCCTTTTCTGCTTATGTGGTGCTGAGGAGTCGAACCCAGGGCCTCATGCATGCAAAGCAAACACTCTACCACTGAGCCACCTTCCCAGCCCGAGATTCTTTTTTTTTTAATTAATTTTTATTTATTTTATTTTTGTTAATGTGGTAGCAAGGAATGGAAAACAGGGCCTCATGCATGCTCTGCAAGCACTCTACCACTAAGTCACATTCCTAGCCCCCATGAGACTCTTATCTCCAATTAACCACTCAAAAACCAGAAGTTCTGCCTTCTGCCTTTGCCACACCATCTTTTCTCCTGCAGTACCAAAGTCTGAAATCAGGGCCTCATACTTGTTTGTCTGGTTCTCTACAACTTGAGCCATGCCTACAGCCCAGCTTTTTGCTAGTTATTTTAGAGATGGAATCTCCAGGACTTTTCTGCCCAGGCTGGCCTCAAACTGCAATCCTCCATATCTTGAAGAGTCTGGATTACAAGTATGAGTCACTGATGCTTGGCTCGCCTCCTTTTTGACCTTCCTTTGGACTCTTCTGCCCAGCGAAGCCTCTCACAGGCCCCAAGTTACCAGCAACAACCCCCGCCATGCCAGTCCTCCCCTCCCGCCATCAGCAGCCACCATGACCTCTACTGTGTACAAAGTAAAATCCTACAAAACGCTGTTCTGGCATGATCTCATTCTATTTGCACAGCTCTTTGACAGAAGACTTATGGTTGAGGCTGGGGAGTTCATACAGTGTAACCCACAGGCTCTGAGGAGCAGAAAGGAAACCTCTGTTCATGCCCGATTTCATCATGGAGCAGGCAAAGCAGCGGCGAGCTCACTGGTCAGGAGCGCTACCACGGAAGCAGAAAAGGGACAGTTCTCTGAGCTGGGTTCCACTCCTCCACTCCCCCCCCCCCCCAAGTTGTGAGTAGGGACTGAAGAAGACAAGCCCAGCCCTAACCTTAGTGGTCACCCGTGAGTGACAGCCAGTGTGTTTCTCTGTTCCCACTCCTGGGAGCTTCTTCCCCTGAGCCCCTTCTGCTCCCAACAGGGGTCCCTGGGAAGACTGATATTCCCTGAAGTGGGAGTGGCTTGCCCTGTGCAGAGTCAGAATAGAGGATGGTGTCTTGGGTGACAGTACTGGCATCGGTGCCCCACACAGGCCTGGTCGGGCCTACAACACGCAGTTACTACGCAAAGTGGGGAAGGACAGGAAACGCAGCTGTGGGAATGGGGCATCCCACAGCATTGGGGTGCAGGGGGTGACGAGAAGCTGGCTCTGTGTTGGTCCACAGAGAACAGTGGCCGTAGGAATTGGAGCATTAGGCTTTTAGAAGAGCCAGAGGGAGGCCTGGGCTTGACACCCAG